TCAAAGCTCCCATCAGCCCCTGCAGTGGGCACATTAGACACGTTTAAAGGAAGCTATTGCGCCTTTGTGTCTTTGCCTGCTTCTACAGTTGAACTTCATACACTCTGCACTAATATGGACACTTTTTGTTATAACGTGGTTTTAAACTCAGTAAAAGAGTCACTTTTTTTAAAGCTATAGATTTGTTGTTGTTATTATTGTATTTCCTTTTTGTCCTTTGAGCAGTTATTTTCATTTCTATTCTTAAATGATCTTATTTTGCAGTTTCTGTGGATGTACAGAAACTGAGTCCGTGGCTGACAACTGGAAAATGCAAAATTGCGAAAAATACCAAAATTATTATCAGTCCTGAACCCGTTTTGTTCCAAACCTTCACCTGCCAACGTAGGAGATACTATTAAAAGTATAATATACGACATGTCCAGTTAACAAATCTAAAAACAGCTTACTTATTGTCATATATCTATTGGCGTGTGTACTCACACGGTTCCCAGTGTTTAATGCTCAGTGTAACAGTCACGTTTAGCTTATTGAACTTGTAATGGCATCGTTCGATGTTTGCTCCAGCCAAACAAAACTTACACGTATCATTCAAACGTTACAACAATCTTCAATCGTTCATGATCGTTTTTTGGTTGGATTCCAAGTAACAGCTGAGCTTCCATGTGATTCAATTTGCCACATAGCTAAGTGAATAAATGTAAGTATGCAGCCAATATTCTGTTTTTCAGTACAATAAAATGAAATAATGTGAATACAAAAATGTAAAAATAAAATTAATGAAACCTTATCACAGCATCTCGTCTGTAAACAGGATTTCAAACTGCTTTTTTTCTGTAAGTTGCTGTAGGTTTTCGAGTGACATGCCCTGCTGGTTTTTATATGTATATAAAAAATTGTAACCAGCGTAGAATATCACATTTATGCAGCAGCAGTCTTACACCGTGGTTCAGGGGTTTAGGAAGCTCGTCTTGCAACCAGAAGGTTGCTGGTTCAGACTCTGACTCCTGGTCATTGTGTCCTTGGGCAAGACACTTCACCTACGACCTACAGGTGTTGGCCAGAGGGGCCGATGGCGCGATATGGCAGCCTGGCTTCTGTCAGTCTGCCCCAGGGCAGCTGTGGCTACAACTGTAGCCTCACCAGTGTGTGAATGTGAGAGTGACTGAATAGTGGAATTGTAAAGCGCTTCGAGTGTCTAGAAAAGCACTCTATAAATGCAATCCATTATTATTACAAATGATTAATATTATAAGTTATGTGATAATATTAGTCTGACTTGCTCTGTCAGTAAACCTCGACTTTCTTATTTCTTCACCTTTATTACTCCGTCTGTGATGGAGGTGAAGCCTGGGCTGTGGTTTACTGTTTGACATCTGCTCGTCTGATGGTTTTTGTTCAGGCTGCACGGATCATTTCTCACTGTGGGCACCTCCTTTATAACAGGCACAGTAGTAAGTGGCTGAATGATCAAACGTACATCTGCTGATCACCAGCTCACCACTATTTTCTTTCCTCATAGCTGAAAATGTGTCTTTTAGAGGATGACTGAAAGCTGTGGGCTTTTTTTCACCACTACGATCAAAACGTAGAATCGCTGTTAATGTTCTCTCATCTTTTCTATCTTTTCTCATGTACCAGTACACAAAATTGGTGTCACACTGGTTAATGCCTGTACACGCTAAGGACACTTTGTCCAACTCTCCTGGTCAATGTTAAATCGTCCTGAATCAGCTGTTCTGCTGCCATGGTAACCAGTGCTGTAGAGACACAGACAGATAGATGAAGGTTAGTGTGACAGTGTTTGTTACAGGTTGACTTTGTTGGCTCCTGATTGGCTGGAAACACTCACCTGAACACAGACAGCACAGAGCAGCAGCTGGGAGGAAAAGCATTTTGTGCAGTGGTGTTTCCTCTGGTGAACCTGGGGAGAAGTGGCGCTCTGATGCAGCTGAGGCCAAACAAGGACGAGCTGTGAGATCAGACGAGGGCCACGTGGTTTCTAACAGGTCCTCAAAGCTCCCATCAGCCCCTGCAGTGGACACATTTGACACATTTAAAGAAACCTACTGCGCCTTTGTGTCTTTGCCTGCTTCTACAGTTGAACTACGTGTAGTCTGCCCCAATACACAGCAAAATCTCCAGTGTTAAATTAACACTTTGACAGTGTTATATGTTTAAAAGTACCCTAGTCAGTTTTGAAGATTAACAATGACTAACACTGAGCAGTGCTGATTTTCTAACACTGGAATATTTCTAACATTTTGAGTTATTTTCCAGTGTTAGAAAATCAGCACTGCTCAGTGTTAGTCATTGTTAATCTTCAAAACTGACTAGGTTACTTTTAAACATATAACACTGTCAAAGTGTTAATTTAACACTCAGAGGTGTGGACCCATATAGACACTCTCCAGTGTTATACAGTACGAGAGTTGCTTTTAATTTTTTTATGTTTCTTTCTTTTTGGTCTTTTGAGCTGTTCTTTCTGTTTTTATTGATTTATGGCTTTTAACATCCATATCCTCTATGTTTTGTATGTCATTGCATGTGTCTAGAAAACAACGTCGTCAACTAAGACTTGTACAGTGCTCAGCTGTAAATCTGCTATAAAATGGAAACTAAAGCTTTGCCACAGCTACATCAGCTATGTGAGTGGTTGAGTCAACTAATGGTCATTTTGTAGCCAACACTGTGATATCCATCCATCCATCCATCCATTTGCGTCCGCTTATCCTTTTCAGGGTCACGGGGGGCACTGGAGCCTATCCCAGGTGTCATAGGCAAGAAGCGGGGTACACCCTGGACAGGTCGCCAGTCTGTCGCAGGGCCAATATCCATCATTTTCTCTGCAATTTAAATAAAATAAAATGAAATAATAAAGGTAATATTTGTAAATGTAACATGTAGAAAATTAATTAGCATTTCTTTGTCTGTTAATATGATCTCCTCCCAACTCACTTCAAGCAAGTTCTCATCAGTACTTAGTTTTAGGTTTTCAAGTGCGCCGTCCTGCTGTCTTTCCATGTATATATAAAACGGTCATCAGCAGAGATCAGCACATGGATTCAGGAGCAATGTTGCAGAATAGAACAACATAGAAGAGCCACCTCCACAGGACAAGACTCAGCAGTCCATCTGCATCTAAAGGTCAAAGGTCACTCTTTCGAGGATGCCAATGTTCACATTTTGGACAGAGAGGACAGATGGTTTGAAAGAGGAGTGAAAGAAGCATCTATGTCCACTGTGAGCG